TAGCATAGTGTGCTGTTTGGCAACTATTCCTTGGTAGCAGTGGCGGCTGGTGGATTTTGGGCACACCCATATCTCAGTTATTACTAATAACTTATTAGACATGGGACCCACATCAAATTTATATGAGTTTATAATGACATTATATAGACAAGTTCTGCGCAAGCAGAATTTAAATTGAAGTTTGCGAAAAAAGTTAAGTGTGCCCCCCAGCCTCCTGCACCCCCAAATTAAGATAATTCAAATTAAAGTAGTGCAATATTTAATTCACTAAATTTTATCGATAAATTTCAAATTTTATTAAAAAAATTCAAGAATTACAGGTTTTATACCATTTTAAATTTTTATTGTTTCTTTCACTAAATTTAAAAAAAAATAGAAATGGCATAAAATCTGTAATACTTGAATTTTTTTAATAAAATTTGAAATTTGTCGATAAACTTTAGTGAATTAAATATTGTACCACTTTAATTTGAATTATATTAATATGTGGGGGCAGGAGGCTGGTGGGGCATACTTAAAAACTAACTTTTTTTCAAAACTTCAATTTAAATTCTGCTTGCGCAGAACTTGTCTATATAGTGTCATTAGAAACTCATATAAATTTGATGTGGATCCCATGTCTAATAACTGAGATATGGGTGTGCCCAAAATCCACCAGTCGCCACTGCTTGGTAGTAAATAAAAACCTAATTGAAAACAATACAATAAAGTTGTAAATGTGTCTTTTACGCATGGTTGTGATTTCTTAGTACCAATGTACAAACTTACAATTACTAGAAAAGTATTGCAGACAAAAACAACAACAAAAACAAATAGTAGGTACGAATAATTAGATTTAAGGTTAAGATTCGTTTTTATTACACGTGCATAAAGCAATACCTTAATAGAAATAATTAATAACTATTTTAAACTACCCAATAAATATACACAATTAGATAGTTAATTAATTTAACAGGATCAAACAATAAACAACAAAATGCACAATATAGGAAATACCGCGCGCATGGAATAAATGCATAGCTGATAACTACCTACATATAAAAATAATATTGTTGCTTCCAATGGTAATCATTCTTAAACTTTTAGTATTGAATACAAAATATTTATTAATAAATTGTGAATAGTTTTAATATAATTTAAGATTTTAATGTGTTCTAAATTATCTTAATTATGACACATTACTAAAATTAAATATCAATCTTTAATATTCAGAATTATTCATATTTGGTCAAAATTGAATGTTTTGTAATGGTTAATATAAAGTACGCATAATATTACAAAATATGTTTTGGTTTTATAAATAATGTAATGATTGTAATCATTGCTTGATTTTAATTTAAAAAAATTTAAATAACTTTTCTTAAAGTTATAACAATAAGTAATACAATTAAAAGTTTACTCTTCACGGAAAAAAGTAAATAAGTATCAGATAAATACAAAAATATAGCATAATTACTGAATCTATGTAATATTTTTGTATTTATTAAATACTATAGTATTATAATTGAAATTTTGCAATACTGTATGTTTCTTAGAAAAACAATTTAGATTTAATAGACATGTTTGAAATTTACTTTCTCACAACTATAGTACTACTATAATAGTAGGTATATATTAGTAACATTGAATTACATGATATTTTTAATAATTTAAGAAACATTATACTCTTTTGACAACTTCGTAATTTAAACATTTGCAATTTAATCTGACTTATTTTTATCGAAATTAAAAATCAGAATTTTTATCACACTAAATTTTTAAACAAAATTACAATAGGTAAAACATTGTGCAATTACTTAATTTAATAAAATTGAGCAAAATTATATACCTATAATTTTTGATAAATGATTAGTAATATTGCAACAAATATTATTTTACTTTTCCAAAATTGAGTTATTATGTAGTAAAATTACCATGAAATTTTTTTAACAAATAGTTTGTTCTTTAAAAACAACAAAATTTAGCTTAAATAGTTTTTTCAGTGTAGAAGGTATCATTTTACCCCATTGGCATAAATTTCCTACCCACCTACAAGCTTAAATATAATAAAAAACATTAAGGCAAAATTTGATTAAAAAGTGTAAAAAGCCGGTATTTTTGAAACGCTACACTACTTTGAAAGTGGAGATTTTTGTTTGATTTTGTTCCTACAGTTGCAGTGATAAGTAGATGATAAAGAATTTCAATACTAGCTTAAAAGGTTGTTTGTATATGTCTCGAAGTTTTATTGGGAAAAAGGAAATCTTACACCTTACAACGGATTACATTACTTTTTTTAACAGATACTGTAAACAAGATCCTATTCTCAGATCTCGCAAAAAAGAAGAGATAAAGAAAGCAAATTTTAAAAGTACCTTTTATATAATTTCGTATAATGAAAGCAGTGAAAACTTAGATGGGCAAGTAATGCAAAGTTAAAATTAAAAAATGTAATATCAACAGAAACCGTATAAAAACCTTTACCTTCGTTATTTCTGTAGTCAGTGATTCAAAATAAAGATAAAATTACCGACAAAAAAATAAAATTAACTTTTTATTTTAAATTACATTTCAGTTTTAAATTAAATTTATTCCGCCGAACAATAAAAAAATCGTCTGCCAATTTTCGTTGAATACTAAAATATTTTTTCGGTGTGCTTAAAGATGCGCGTCATTTAAAATCAATTTCAGATACGTTTTTTCATTATTTTCCACTCTGTATCGCGTAACATGACAGTCAATTATAGAGTTATAAGAAAGTGGAGGTTTTCTGTTCGACCGCATCCAAAAAGACAATAACGCTTATGTTAAAATGTAGAAAACTTAAAATAGTATTAAATAGTATTTATACATACATATATGGTATACCATATTATGGTAGTATGGCACCTATTAGTACTACCTATAGTAAATTAGATACCATTAAAAACGTTGAACTAAACAATAATTCGTTCATTCGATTTAATATACATAAGTATCATACTACACTGAAAAAAATAAGCTGTTGAAACAACAAAAAAAATATTAATTCAACTCTTTATGCACTTTAAATACAAGCAATGGTTTTTGCACGTTTACTTAACCATCTAAAAATGTCAAATTGTATTGTTTAATTGAACAACAAATAACAGTCAAATGAACAAAATAAGAATATTTGTTCTAATCTGCTAATTTGGTTAATTTAACATTCTTAGGGTGTTAAGGTAAATTTCTTGAAATGTCCAGGTAACCTTTTTAGCATATTCACTTAACACCAATAAAATGTTAAATTAACATTCTGAAAATGTAAAATTCTTTAAAGGTTGGTATCCAAAACAAAATTATGGAAAAAATATATTATTATATATAAATAGAAAGAATTGAACCTTCACCTCGCCCAGAGTTTTTGTTTTGAGCGTGTTCCACCCATGATACATCTTTGTATCATGTGTTCCACCTACTTCAAATACCAACAGACTGTTTCGCCCTGTATTGAGGGTCTTAACAGTGTCGGGCAATATGGTGTAGTGAAAGTTCTACTGTGGAACACACCTTAAACAAACAGATATCTCATCTTATATACACCTAATCGTAAGCTAACTAAGGCGAGATGTAAGAAAACGTCATTGTCTAATGACGTGGCGTGAGTGTTCGAAGCGCCATTCTCGGCAATTTTATGAATGCAAATTTTACATTTTAAATTTTAAAGTAACATTTTAAATTTGTTAAATGAACAAATTTAAAGTTTTGGATTAAAGAGCAACTAAACGTTAATTTAATAGTTTTTTTAGGTAATCCTAAAAATTTCAGTAGTTGATTCAACAAATTCCAGCTATTAAATCAAAGTACGATAAACATTTTAATTCAAAATATTAGTTTATGTTAAATTAATATTTAAACTGTCAAATGAACAAATAAACTTTGACAAACTCTGACTTTTGCTTTAACACCAAAATATAGATTAATCCAATAGGTTTTTTGTTGAAACAACATTTTTTAAAATGACATTTAGGCAAATGTTAACTCAACTACATTATTTTTTTCGGTGTATAGGTGCCAATATTATTCTAACATAGGTAACATGTAATTTTATAATAAGCCTATAGTTTGTTTTACCAAACTTTTGGTAATTGCGTTGTATTTCTGCATATATATCATTCTAATTTTTATATAACTTCATGACCTGACTTTCAAAAGAAACGTGGCTAAGTATTTTGCACCATAAATCACTTATTAGCGACACACGCTCTGTTTAATTGAGTTGGGGTTCGTTTAATAACTCTCGAAACTGATACTCATCGTTAGCAAATACTTAGGGCTAAATACCGGGGCAAATTTAATTGTTTTCTTTCAGACTTATATCGATCTTGAACCCCTGATGATATAGGTTAGTGATATTTGGAAGAATAAAATGTTTCCTGATATATAATATTTTATTTGAAGTGTGCCCCAAAATCTTTCCAGTCTCGTGCTTTTGAATAGCAAATTACCTCTTATAGGATTAACAGTATTTATTTGGAAACATTCCTGAAATCCTATAAACCGCAATTATTTGGCTACAGCAGGTAGTTAAATTCGGTAATGATGCAGAAAAATCAGTGAGTTTGTCTGGCTTTATGAATGAAGTAACAAAAAAGTATAGTTTTAAGTATTTAACAAAAATGCCAACAATAATTTTCAAGGCTTTTACATGTTTTTCGTTTTAGATAAAAATTTATTTTCTTTTTTATAATAATAATAATTTTGCTAAAGAAACTTTGCTTCTAAAAGAAACAGAAGTTAGCCAGCACCAATCCTTTTCGGTTTACCTATCTAATATTTTATTTTATCGTAATGTTTAGAAATGGTTCAAACCCATTATCAAAATTCGAGTTCTGCTCGATTTACTCGACAAGAATTTTGTTATGAGCAGATCTTTATTGGTTTTTGTTTTCAAAATTAAGATTTTAAAAGTTTTCTCCTTTACATTCTTCAGACTTGATTAATATAAACTGACACAAAATGATAACATTTTAAATAATTAATTAAGAATATAAACTTACTTGGACTGGAAGCTTCTGAAGAATCTGACGTAGGAAAGTTTCTGGGCATATTCATGGACATCTCTGATGAAGTGGTTACCGTCGGCGAAGTAGCATTATTTTGGTTTTGGCTTTCCACAACAGTTTGTGGAGTTGGGAATAAAATCCCCAATTCTCTAGCCTCATTCTCCTCTTGTGCTTGCTGCCTCCTCAAGGCGACTTGAGCCGCCATAACCCTCTGTCTTTCTGCAATTAACGTACATTTGGCACAGTTGCAGTCCCTCCATCTGCAATATCTTTTATGGCCTTTTAAAGCAGACACAACTCCGTGGTTTCTACAACGAGCGCATTTTGGTGTTCGCTGATATCTTTCGGACGCTCTAAGAAAAAACGCTGGCGGTATGGCACCGAGTACAGGGTGTTGGGACATCAGGGTGCTCATGTCGACTCCACTGCCTGAATTCATTTTTGACACTCACTATTCACGTTTAACTTTAACTAGTTCTTGACGCACATGGACTCTTGGGGTGAGTTTGATAAACTGACAGTATCTTGGTAGTGTTACGCTTACCCTTGGTCGTTACATAGCTTCAACTGTTGGTCGTTTTTCCGCCAATGGGACGCGTTCGTGCCGTTGGCTCCGCCTTCTTTGGTGACGTAGAGGTTGGGGTGACGCCTTTCTACCCTCCTTAGTGTGCATGTTTACTGTATTATAAGTTTAACAATAGGAGTACAGAGTACGAAACTAGTTATGTATTGTAAATAATATTATATGGCTATTATTGTGAAGGAGGGAATGGAGCTATGCTTTTAATGCTTTGTTGTAATACTGTACAGTGTATTTGGATTTTGGTATTGTTTTGTCGAATATTCAACTATTCTCTCTCTCGAATTTGCCTTCTAGTTTTACTGTTGACGTTTTTACAGATCGATTTCAAGAGTGGGTTGAGGATTGGGATTTTAGATAAGTTTTGTTACCTATTGCAGTTCAAGTGGCCACTTTGGAGGTTAACTATAGGTAGTCAGTATTATTTGATTGCTTGTTAAAATCTTATTTAAGTTTAAAGGGATTATAACTATTGCTATTAATTTGGATTTTGAAGTGAAATATATTTTTTTATGTATAGTGTGTACCTATGTATTTTAAAAATGCTACAAATTTGTCACCAGTATACAAAAATCATAAGATTATGTTGGAAATTTTATGAAAAATTAAAAAATTATTTAAAAATATTATGAATATATTTTCTTTAAATTAAAAAAAATTTAAGAAACATCAATTGAAGATACCTATAGAAAATATTATATTGAGGTAATTTGAGGTGATTTTGAAAAAATCGGATTTTTTGGAAAATTATTTAGTTAAAGACTGTTAAAGATACAAAAGTGATACGAAAGTGAATTCGGATCCCAATTTTTCTGTAAATTTACTAGTCGGCAGTTTCGAAAGTTTTATTAGTTGCCTACTAATGCCGACTGAAGCTATAGCTGCAGCTAATGCCGACTAACAGATAATCGATTTTAATACATCTAGTAGAGTCTGATAAGTCTACTAATTAGTAATCTTAGCAGACTACTTAAGTAGACAAAAGAGTTTACCCATTTACCTATTTTGGGAGCAATTAAAAGGATTATTTGGCAAATTCGCGGTCTTTTAAAAGATGGAAAATCTGGATGATTGAAAGATCGTTTTGTAGTAATTTTAAACAATAAATATTCATTTTTGTTTTTCATAAATGAATAACAAAAATTAATATTTATTGTTTGAAATTATAGTAGTATATTATATATGTAGGTATATAGTATATATAGTATATATATGTATATATACATAATTATTTGATATTAAATAAAAATGTTATTATTATTATTACTATTATTATTAAATAGACGATTTGCAGTGCCTTTACAGAAACTCGGTTTTTTATATTACCAAATTTTTTGGTCACAAATTCACAATATTTTGATGCTGCAAAATTAAATTTGAATACTTATGTCAAAATGTCGAAAGTTAATAATGAAGGCTTGAAAATAAATTTGAATCGTTATAATTGATTTTGTAAAATGTTGGTATTTGTTCGAGAATTTAATAATTTTGCATTTTTGAGTTATTCCAGAGTCAAACAAATTAATAGGATACAGAAAATGTTTTATGATATTCGTTAAATTGGCCCTGACTATTCTATTATGGATTTAAAAATAAAAATATTAATGAAACATTTAAGGAAGCAATTTTAAAAAAACCTAAAAAATGTGAGTAAAAACTACTGTAGATAATTATTATGCTTACAAGCTTAAGCTTAATTTATTACAAGCATGTTTGCAATAGTAACTATTGCGATCAGGGCCGGCCCGACGTTTTTTGCCGCCCCGGGCGAAGATATTTTTGCCGCCCCCTTGTTATTCGGCAGAAATAGTGGCAAAAGTAGTTTAACGTAATTATTTTTTAGTTTTTTATGCTTTAGAATCACCAATAGGTAAGGCAATATACTGGCTTACGTCGCAAAAAAGAAAAAAAAACTATGATTTTAATATAGAAATTTAAATATTATTTAAATAACGAAATAAGCGATAAATTTTACTTTATCTTTAACTTTTACTTTTACTTTAATATAATATAGTATGGATCTTTCTTTCTTTCAATATAAAAATCATTTTCAAATGTAACGTCAAAAAACTGTAGAACAAATCTTTATTTACTTAAAATTAAATAAAATAACTATATTTATTATAATAATATATTATGTTACGTAATAACAAAAAAATCATTAAGTATACTTATACTTATATAGTCTAGAAAAAAATGTAAGTAGGTAGTATACTACCTACTTACATTTTTTTCTAGACTATACTTAAAAGAAATTCACTTTTCTAGCTTTCGCTTCAGAAAACTTTTTGAGCAAATCACGAAAATCCAAATGTATCGCCAACTCGCTTTCTATAGAAATAACCGCAAGACCTGTTAATCTCATTTCTGAAATAGTCGAACGTAAGTAGTTCTTTATCAACTTTAACTTTGAAAAGCTGCGCTCTCCACTTGCTACTGTCACAGGTAAAGTCAGTAATATTCGCAATGCAATAGCAACATTTGGCGTAAAAAAATCTTGACGTGCTATATACTTCAATACCTCAAGCGGGGTTGTTTTGGGTTCAATTAATTGTGATAGAGCCAACAATTCATTATACAATTCCAAAGCGTCAACGTCTGAACTGTCTCCAAAAGTCAATGAAGAAGCCAAATCCTTGCATTGCTTCAAAAGATCTTCTTGAGTAAACCTTTTTTTTATCGCACCAATATCAAACAAGAAATTGAAATTATCTGCATAGTGTTCTAATTGCTCGAAACGGTCTTCAATGGAGTTAATAGCTTTATCCAAAATCGTAAAAAAACATTCAACTTTAAATTTCTTCTCGGGATCATCAATTGTTTCATGTGAAGCTTCGTAACAGAACATTTTTGTTTTTTTACGAGGTCTGATGGATTTCGATGAAGCGAAGCTTGTATCACATTCGAGCTCTTGTGCTAGCATTTTTGATTCGTCCAATACTTTTTGGAAACCTTCATCTGATCTGCACTCTTTTAAAAATAATAAAGTTTTACGCAAGTCATCTACAGCTTGAGAAATATCGCAATCTATGTGTTGCAACGCTTTACTTACTAAATTTATTTGATTTAAGATTTTGTGCCACAAGACCGTGAAAGCACAGAAAGAGAATGTTTTCATTTTTTTCGCCAATGATTCTGCTTGATATCGAGAGTCTACATCGAATGTCGAATCTTGGCTGATTTCAAAAAGCGTGTCATATATTTCTCCTATCGAATAGCGAAATGGATTTATTGCATCAATTCTGCTTTCCCATCTAGTTTCACTAAGTGGTTTTACCGTTAACCTATTCCCTAAATTTTTCTTCAAAATTGACCAACGATGAGTTGAGCCACTCAAAAAATTATATATTTCTTGGACATAAGAAAAGAATCTAACCCCATCTATTGAAGATTTAGCCGCATCATTAACTACTAAATTGAGCGTATGAGCGTTGCAAGGGACAAAAAAAGCTCGACCGTTCAATCTGAAAATACGGCCTTGTACACCTTTTTCATGTGCTTTCATATTTGAACCATTATTATATCCCTGACCGCGCATATCATCCACCGAAAGTCCGAATTTTTCTAACTCTTCTACTATTTTTTCGGTCAAAGCTTTACCCGTGGTTTCATCGACAGGCAAAAACTCGAGAAAATTTTCGCGAATAAGAACATTATTATTATCATCTATTTCGACAAAGCGGAGAGTTATAGACATCTGCTCAATTTTAGCTACATCCCGAGTACAATCTACGATGATCGCATAGTACTTTGCTTTTTTAACAAGCTTAATAATATGGTCTGTAATATTTTTGGCTATAAGTTCAATTAGCTCATTCTGGATTCTTTTGCTTAAGTAATGCACATGAGTTTGTCCACTTTTAATTTTTCTTACATGTTCAGTCATAAAGTCGTCAAACTGAGCTAATAACTCGACTAATTTTAGAAAATTACCATTGTTTTTTTCAAATAACTTATCGGATGAACCTCGAAAAGCTAAAGATTGTTCGCCAAGAAATTGTACAATTGCTAAGAGTCGTTTTAACAAATTTTGCCAGTATTGTGTTTCTGCATCTATGGCTTTCTGAAAATCTACATCAATAGTGCTAGCACATTTTAATCTGTTAGACATTTCAATCCACAACATACATGCACGTAAATGACTCGAACTTGTTTCATGACTTTTTAAAGCTTCATGTAAATGCTTCCAATCTTTGTACCCAGTAGTTGCCAAGATAATATCAGAATTACTAAAAAGCTTACAGCAAAAACAAAAGACACTATCGCAACTCATTGAATAAACGAGCCATAATCTTTTTGCTACCTCGCCGTTTTTCATTTTTTTCTCAAAGCACGATAACGAAAAATGACGATTTTCATCATTCAAGGGGAAATTAAATGTATTATACGCTTCTGGTTTTATGGGCCCACTAGAAACTAAAAATATTCTCTGGGCATCATTTATGGGGTTTGGCCATGTTGCAGGATCTAGACCACAATTTTCTTGGGGGCCTACGTTTTGAATTTCGAGTGTGACACAGTTGTCAATATGTGTTGACGAACTATGAATTAGGGATACTTCTTTCGAGAAATTTTCGGAAATGTGACTTTTATGCGATTTATCTATCAAGGAAACAATATAATTATAAAAATAATAGAAGGTAATATAATTTTTGTTAATAACAATGATTTCAGTGATTATAAATATTAATTAAGTATCGTCTGTTCATTTGTATAAAAGTCGAGGACCCAAGTAGAAATTTTTACTTTTTTTTTTTATCCTCTGAGTGAGACGTGTCACACTGCAAATTTGAGAATTTCTTATTGAGAAAAGTGAAAACTTCGACTCGAGGACAAAATATTTTACTTAATTAAATATTAGCATCTGCACAAATTTTAATTACCTATTACCTATGTAAAAAATAAAAATTAAAAAATGGTTGTAGGTACCTCGATTTGCACATTCTGTGTCTGCCCCTTCTATAAAGTGC